ACCTACCTTTAGTGATAAATCTTAGTCTCTCCCATTATAAAAACTTAATCTTTTTCGCTCTTATTTTAATAAAACACATAATTAATACATCAAGAACTTAATATCAATAAAAATGGTAACAATATGAGTGATATTGTTTGTTGCAAATTTTTCTAGGATAATAATTATTGTTGGAATTTATTGTTCTTGATTCCAGAGCAGTATACCAGGATGATTGTGGATCATGTGCTGTTCTTCTGAATCTGTTTTTGTATTGCTTCCAACTGATTAAATCTCTTTTATTGTATTTAGTTAGTTGTGAGTGAAAGAGAATGTTGTCCTGTTGGAGTATGTATCTATGTTTTTTGTATGTGGATCATGGTCCTGTGATGTTGTTTAGTGGTGAGAAAAAGATCTGTGAGTTGAAAGAAGAGAAATTACATGTGCTAGTGATGAATGAAATATTTCTTTGATGCAAAAGAGAAATGATGCTGGCAATTAGATTATATCTAATGGAAGATGATTCTGGTAATGGATTGAAAAGTACTAGTATTGGGATCCATCTGTTATGTTGAAGTTGTTGCAATCGTATATTGGTGATGTGATCTGTTAAGGATGATTTATTTAGTCTATAAAAAAGATCTGAGATTTTGCTGCGTGATTGGATTTCTTGGATGTCATCCAGAGCGAAGATTTTTGGATGGTAGAGAATTGAGTTTGGTGTGTCTACTGGAAGAAATGCTTTGATTTTGACTAGTTTTTTAATTTTTTTCATTAGATTTTCACAAAAGGTGTCTGAAAGTACGAAGAGTTGGGATCTGTATTCAATTGCTGGAAATAAGATTCTATTGATAATGTAAATTGATTGTTTTTCAGTGATGAATTTTTTTGTGAGAAGTTTGGTTAAATTGTCTACTTCAATTTTGATTTTGGCTTGTTGAGTGTGAACTTTTCCATTAGTGCTAATATGAATTCTTAGATATTTGGTGCTTTCTGTTGGTTCTAAAATTTTTAAATTTTGATCATTATTGTTATATTTGAGATGTGTTGAGAGATCAGATTTGCTATTGATATGGATTACTTCTGTTTTGTTTGGATTGATTGAGATATTGCACATATCGTAAAATTGTTATGTTGTTTGTAGGATTGTTTGCATGTTGTTTTTGTTGTTGGGAGCCAAATTGTGTCATCTATGAAAGCTAGATTGGTAAGTGAAAAAGATTGTTGTTGGATTTCAGAATGAGAGAATTTAATATTGTAATTATTGATGTTGTAACCAAGATTTTCTTTGTATTTGTCTATTTCGCAAAGTAGAGGATCGTAGAAAATACGTCATAGTATTGGAGTGTTAACTTCTCCTTGATCAAGTTCATCTTCAATATGATATGGATCAGTAAGGTCAAATTCTGTGTGTATGTTATTGTGTCGATTGTTGTGAATGTTGCTAAGTAGTGTTGTAATTTTTTGGTTCATTTTTATTCTATTTAGTGCAAGTTGGAGCATGTGCTAGCTAACTGAGTCGTAGACTCGTTTCTTGTCTTGGAAGATGCACCATAATTCTTTGTGATGTTCTCTTGCATCTTTTAGTAAGCAGTTTAGAATGTGTAAGGGAGATGAAGTTGACATGTTTTTTAATATAGAGAAATTATTACCTCATAGCAGTGTTGTACATTTTTGATGTCCGCGTCATATATGGCAGACACGGACATGTTGGGACATTGTCCAATATCCGCGTCCGCCATGTGTCTGGAACATGTGATTGTCATCAGACAATGTTCATGTGATATTTGATGGACACGGACATATTGGGGGACATTGTCCAACGTCCGTGTTTGTAATATCCTGACCAATTGTCTTTATTCAACAATGCCACCATTACCCATATTATTAGACCAATATATTATTAAAACCAAGGAAAAACTCAATAAGAGTAATCTTAAGGTTTATTGCAAGACATGTATCAAAATATTAGGCCAGGATGAAGGAAAAAAAATTTTTTTCCTAACAAAACGGATAGAATAATTCTGCACCTCAAAAAATGCATACATTTCATACAAAAAACAACACCAGAACAACGAAAAGAAATTTTCAGTCTTGATGTTTCTCTTACAAAGGAAAAATGACCAAGTAAGCATTAAAATTTATTTTGTTTTATATGTTTATATAATAATAACTATAACTATATCTGATTTTTTTTAGTTCCATCTAATTTGTCGTATGACACCATATCCACATCCTCAAAATCTTCAGCCCACAAAGTTATTATATGATCTTCCTATGGACTTCTTGACAACTATATTGTTCAACCATTATCACAAAAAGACAAAGAAAAATTCTAAGTTCTTTTATTAAGATTAACGGTATCTTGTGGATGGGTCTTCCATTGGGTTAACAAGCCTGAGGCAAAAGAACTATTTGACTTTTTAAATTCTTATCTTAAACTTCCAGACCGTCGGGCTCTTAGTGAACAAATTTTGGAGACAACCGTTTCTGAAGGAGACAAAGCAATGCATGAAGCACTTCGTGAAGATCCAATCGGTATTACTCTAACATTTGATGGATGGACAAATGTAAAAAATGAGCAATTATTAGGGATAATGATTATTACTTCAGAAGGAAAACCATATGTATGGAAAGCGACAGACATTAGTATAGAAAGAGAATCTCACCTTGAAGTAATGGAAAAAACAAAAGTCATGATCGATGAGCTAGAAAATATGAAAGTAAAGGTCTCAGTGGTTGTGACAGATAGTGCTAGTCCATATGCAGCATCCAGGTATTTTCATTTGATTTTTCTATTCATTCTAATTTATTTTTTATTGATATTAGTTTATTAATTTAGACGAAGATTAAGACTCGCAAATCGAAATATTGTATTCTTACCGTGCTTTGCCCATCAACTCAACCTATGCATTAGAGAAGTATTCAAAGAAATGACTGATTTGAAAACTACAATGGATCGAGGAATTCGTTTAGCTTCTTATTTCAAAAACGCAAATAACAAATATTTTATTGCAAAACTACATGATCAACAAAAAATAACATATAATAAGTATTATGGAATAGCGGCCCCAGGAGAGACTCGGTGGAATAGCTACTATACAGTAGTAACAAGTCTTTTGCAAACTCAACAAGCCTTACAGGTATATATATAATCAGTTTTTTATCATTTATAATTTAAATCTTTATTTATTTTTATTTTTAGATTTTGGCGATTAATTTTCAACCACTACATATTCAAAGTCGACGACGAGCTGGAGAAAACCTAACAATTCATCATGAAATTTTTGAAATTATCAACTCGGACACATTTTGGACGAATTTGTTAACAATCGCGAAAATTTTATATCCCTATTGCAAAATATTGAACATTTTGCAATGCGATAATGCAAGATTAGTACAAGTTATACACAGTCTTGCATACTTGGTTCAATTTTGGAATAACCATATGAACCTGCAACTTGCCAGAAAGATTTTGGTCTGGTTGGACAAGAGATGGAATAATTGGGAGCAGCCTCTTTTAATTTTAGCATGCTTATTGCATCCAAAATATCGAATGACTTATTTCAAGGACAAATCAGTAATTAATTATTCAAAATTAGGAAAATACTTAATTTATTACTATAGAGCTTGGTTGGACAAAGAACCTACTTGTATTTTGCGTGAATTTAGTGATTTTTCTATGAGCATTTATCCATTTGATGATAATACTTACAACCAATTCGGTGATATTTGGAGGTACTGGAATTACGCTGGGGCTTCGACGAATGAATTGGGATTTGTGGCTTGCCGATTATATGGGATTTGTTTTAATGCGGCTGCAGTTGAACGTCTTTGGAGTTGCATGAGCTTTTTACAAACAGATCGAAGGAATCAGTTAATGGTAAATATTTTTTTTAATTTAAATTTTTTTATTTAAATATTAATTTTATTTTTTTTAGTCATCAAAAGCTCTTGATATGAGCAAATTAAGAACATCTATTACATGAGATCATTGACAAAAATCAGATTCTGTTGAGTTATCATCACCAGGTTTTCTAGAAGAAAATGCTAAAGATCAAATGGATATTAATAGTGAAGAAAATCAAGAAATCCAAGAAAATGAAGAAAATGAAGAATCTGGCGAAATTGAAGCAGAACCTGAAGAAATCATAGATCTTATCTTGGATGAAGACTTTGATGATGATGAGTCGCCAGATTCGAGTTCTTTGGAAGCAGATTTTGGCCAATTTTTGGATGTGTGAGCAGAGATATTGGTGGAGGAGACTGAGGAATTTACAGGTATAGAAGAAGAGAATGGTGAAATGCTTTCTTCAGAAATTGGTAATATTATTCATTCAGCAGTAGATGATAATGCTAAGTGGGATTTAAATACACTTTTCAATGAATTACAATTACCTTAATTTTTCATTTTATCATAATAAAAATCGGGATAATATAAAAGTGAAAAAATCGTAGCGGCATATATCCTCTAGCCGATGTGCTAAACCAAGCGCGTTCGGAATGTTATTGTTACGTATACGTATGTTGCGCACTAATTTTAATAATCAAATAAGTTCAGTCATCCCAAAAAGTAACGTCCAATTTGGATGTGTAACATCAATATAAATTTAAATGTGGCATTTTCTCTCTTTTTGTTATTGTTGACTGTGCTGATGTCTGGATATTATATTTCACATTGGATTTTAGGTAGGTGTATGTTAAAAATGTTTCCTTTGTTAATTTCTAAATCTAATCAGCTTTTTTATTATTTATTAAGAGTGTCTTTACCAAGATCAATTACTGTCATCGATCTTCTAAACAATACCTTTTCTGAATCAAGATCCTAATCGTACCGTTCGTCAATTTAATCAATTGTTATGAGGGAATTTTAGCGTCCATTTTGCTGTTGATTTTTCGGAGTTCACTAACTCTGTTGGCAGTTAGGCAAACCATAATAGAACCACCACCAAATTTTACGGTTGAAGTAATATGGTGATCTTTTAATTGTTCACCAGGCTTTTTCCAGCACCATTTTCATCCGTCCGATCCAAATAATTGGAACTTGCTTTCGTCAGACCAAATTATTTTTTGCCAGTCGTCAGCTGTCCAAGTTCAGTGTTTTTTTGCCCATTCTAATTGGAGTTTTTTGTGTTTTTTTAAACAATGGCTTTTTTCGCTTAATTCTTGCAAATAAACCATTTCTTCTAAACATACGTCGTATGCTTTCCATTGAAATTTTGACTACCAGTTCACGTTGAACTTGGACAGCAGTAGTGCATTTTCCAGATGATATTAATCGGATGGCATTCCATTCATAACGATCTGAAAGAATGCGTGGATGACCAGGTTTTGGTTTATCTTCAAAGTTTCTGGTTTCTTCTTTCTTTTTGTAGATGCGTTGGACCGAAGCTGAGCCCACCCGTTCTGATAATGCGATTTCCCGGACTGAATATCCTTGTCGGAGAGTGTATATTCGGGAGTGCTTTTCTAGTGGAATGCGAGGCATTTTGGAATAAAAATGGTTAGAATTATTGTTTAGAATAGTGAAAGTGTTCTATAGATATTGTAGTGGAAAGAGTGCTTTTATATTCATCTTTATAGGCCTGAACTCTTTGTCTAAATCAGTTATATTACACATTACACAGAACGCTAAAAAAATCATTAGCTTGTAAAGTAAAAGATAGATGAAAATAAAAAGTTCCATTAAATGATTGTGATTATTTTAATGAATAAAATCTACTTAGCTTAGTCTCCGATAATTTCTCGAATCTCACCATTTTTTTTTCACGTTTCTAGGGATAGGAATCGATTCTCAACCCAGGATCGATTCTCGAGCACAAATTATGACATTAACGACTACAATGACAGCAATAATGACGACGATGACATAACTGGTTTTTGATTTTGTTTTTCATTGCATGTTGATTTTTCCCTTTTCGTTGGAATAGTTGAAGTTGTACATTAATTAGTTGAAATTATACTTTGATTAGTTGAATTCGTAGAGATACTTGGTGGTATATATAGAGGTAATTGAAGTATTGTCATCAGATCAGATTCTGTATCATGTATTTTCTGTTGTTTCAAATTTGGATCAATATCAGTTACTTTTGGCATTAGTATCACAGTTATTAAACTCTATATTGGCAATATTAACATTTTTGTTGAATGACAGAATAATTTGTCGTGTGTTGTAACATTTGCATGTTTTTTACAAGTGAAAATCAATTACGTATTTACGCGATTGTGCATTATCGTTATCGTTATTAATAATCGATTCTTAAATTTTAATCAATTCTCAAATTTTAATCAATTCTATATATATATATACAAAATTAATTGATTCTCAGAATCGATTCTAAATTAATCGATTCTAGAGAATCGATTCCTATATATCCCGTTTTTTTAGTGAGTCACAACCCAAACTGATCCTACTAAAATTAAGAGGATCATCAAAATGGTGTTACAAGTGTAACAAATAATTACATGTCCAGACGTCCACCCAATCTTCAGACATGGACGCGGACGGTCCGGTCTGATCCCATCCCGTGTCCGGTCCAGTCCAAGTGACAACACTGCCTTATAGTATGTTTTGATTAGAACAGATATTTGATATGCATGAAGTAATTATTCTGAAGAAATATTTTCTGGCTGTTTGAGAAGAGCTATTGGATAAGTGATATCAAGATTTTCTTCCCAGTCTTGTGATTTGGGTATTAAGATGATGTTGGTATTTTTCCATTCTTGAGGAATATCATTTTGGATCAAGTATTTGTTAAAAAGAAATAGTAAAGATTGTAGTAATTTTTCGCTGTTGTATTGATAGAGGATATTTTTTATATCACTTGGTCCTAGTGCTTTATGTGCATTAGTTTGTGAGATCAATTGAAGAAATTCTGTTTCATTTATTGAATTTGAAATGAAGTCAAAGATCTAATTGTTGACATGTTGAAGGAATTCGTATTGTTCTTGTCATGAAGTAAATGGTCAATTAGTGAATTTTCTTTGTTTGTGCTATTGTTCAAAATGATTTTGGACTACTAGTTTTACTTTTGGTAGATTGTCAATGATATTTGTTTCGTTGAACACTTTGTTGATTGAGATTGAGTTAAATGATTTGTTTAATATTTTGTTCGAAGTTTTTCTGGTTTGCTCTGATAGCTTCTTCTATTTGCATAGTTTTAATTCTTTTTTCTTCAATGATCTTGGCTATTTATAGGTCTTTTCTGATTTGTTTGAGTTATGTTTTCCATTGTAAGATGTTTTGTGAATTATTGATTGATGATAAGTGAATTTGTAATTGTGATTCGAGTGTGTTGAAAGATTGTGTGAGTTCGTGAATTTTTTTTTGATGATTTATATTGTGATTTTTGTTTAGATTGTGAATGAGAAATAAAAGACTGCCAATAATGTTGTATTTTTTGGAGATGATTGAATTGTGCTTAGTTGAATTTTTTATTGATGAGAGATTCTTTTTCTTCAATGTTTGGTTTGCAGCTTTCAGAATGATTTGTTTGATGATGTGTCAGTGTTCTTGAAGAGGTGTGCTTTCTGTAATATGATTTAGGGAGAGATTATCTTCTGTGAGTTGTTTGAATTTTTCCCATGTGGTTTGAGGAATATTTTTTGTGATGTATGCTATGCGCTTGTATTTCCATCTTTTGATAATGTGTTTTGGTGTTTGATGTGTGATTGTAAATACATTAAATATAGTTGTGATAGCTTGGTGATCTGTATTAATTCAGAATGAATCAGATATTTCTGAGTTAATTGTTAGATAATGTAAGTCTTGGCTGCACCAAATCATATCAAGCCATCTATTTGAGTTAGCTCTTGACCATGTGTAATATTCAGAGTTTGAATGTAGATAGTTATGTGTTTCATAAGTCTCTTTGAATTGTAGGAGTTTGACTAGTTCATTTTTGGATTATTTATATAAATGTTCATTGAAATCACCAAGTATAAAGTAATATTTGGAGGTAGATGTAATGTGATTAATATAGTATAGGATTTTTCTTTTGGTAACTCTGTCAGATCCAAAATTGGTTGCTGATAGATAAATTGCTATGATATCTATCATGATTTTGTCAGAGAATGTGAGATTTATATGAATGAGTCTGCCTTCAATTTTGAATGTTTTTTGAATGTATCTTGACCAATAATTGTTTATAAATAGACTAGTGTCTGATCCTAGATAATTGTTGTCATTGCAGATCTATAGATATGTATATTGTGAGTTTTTGAAAGTGTGTTTGGCTATATTGGTTGTTAATTTTGTCTCTGTAATAGCTAAGATGTTAACTTTGGTTTCGTTAATGAATTTTATGATGTCTTGGGATTTGTTTGAGATTCTCAGTCCTCTGACATTGATGGTGCTTATCCGTAGTGATGAAATTAGAGTTGAAATTTGTTGATCTATTATTTGTGTGGTGTTTGTGTAATTGGAAGATCCAACTTTTGTATTATTGTTGTGTTGAATTATGATTATAGAGTATTTTTATTTGTTTCATTCGTTTCATAATGGAGATTTGTTTTTTGTTCATTGATGATATTTGTTGATGTAGTTCTTGATTGATATATTTGAGTTGAGTAATTTTCTCATTCTTTTTTTTGTTGTTATAGTTTGATTGCATAAGAGAATTAATATTTAGAGGTTGGGATTCTTGGAGTGCTGGCATTAATTTGATGAAAGAGAATATCAGCATTTTAGGTGCTGGTGTGGATTTATTGTCCAGTTTGCTGATGATCTGATCTAGTTTGGATTCCAATCAGTCAATTTTTTTGTTGAAATCATTTAATTTTTGGTTGAAAATGAGCATGTCATTTTTCAATTTTGCTATCATGTTAGTATGGTTAAAAAGTTGATGTTGATGGAAAAGTTCTTCTTCGTTGTCATTGTTATTGATATGGATTTTGTTTCAAGAACAGAATTCAGAGCCAGAGATTGATGAATTTTTGGTGTTTTGTTTAATTGATACTGTTTTGTCTGTTGATAAATTTGAGTTGTATTTGTTGATGTGAGAAGTTTTTTTGTGATTGAGAGTGGGTGATGTTATGATAGGTTTGCAGTAGTCAACATTTCGATTTTCATATAATTTGTTCAATTGTTGGTATTAATGCGCTTTTTTGTTTTAGAGGTGCATTTTTTGGTGATGTGATTAGTTGAGAAGCAAATTCTGCATGATTGCGTATCTGTAGTTTCCCATCATAGTTAACTGTTTCTTAACATAAAGTTTTGTATCATAGCAGCTGCCATGTCAGATTCATTTTCAAAAGCAATGATTGCTATGCATTGGTGATTATAGTGAATGGATGATCAAGGAATATAGTAGAATTTGCCTTTTATTGATTGAATGAGATCTTCCAGCTCGAATGCTGTTGTTCCATAAGGAAGATTGATTAGTTTGACTATGTGCGCATCTCGTTGTTCGATGATGAGAGGTTAATTTAAGAGTGGAAGTATTCTGACACGATCTGTTCCAAGCAAGATTAATCACTCGTTGATTGCTTGTGTTGCCTGTTCCTGATTTTTGTATTGGATGATGGTGTATAACCATTTGGTAATGATGCGTTATTTTATATCAATAATATTACCAAATTTTGAGAGTGCTGCGTTAATTTGTTCTTTGGTGATTTCTATTGGCACATCACGTAAGATTATGATTGTTGATGGATCAGTTGTTTTTGGAAAATTGGAATTGATGTTGTTGATGTGGATGTCATTGATGTCAATTTCCAATACATTATTTAGTGCTTTCATAGATGAGAATTCCAAACAAATGCCCTGTAAAAAAAAATAAAAAACAAAAATCAGGAAAAAATTCGGTTTTTTAGTTCCGGAAAATCACAGGTTTTGTTAACAAATTTCCGGATTAAAATCTGATAAAAAACTGCTTAAAA